CAGCTGATAATTAAAAAAATAATTAATTGAAAAAAATTTTAATTTAAACTTTTTTTTTAAAAAAATTTAACCGACAGATTTTTTTATATTTTGTAATAAATATTTCGAGTCTTTGGTAAACTAAATTATGAAAATGTAAACAAATTTATATTATAATTTTTGCTAAAAATTTTTGTAATACTAGCAAAGTTTATATTTTCTATGACATAATCTCTTTTTTTCTCCGTAATAAATAGTTCGCTTTGATTTATTCCTTCTATCTTTTTTAACAAGAATTACAATTTAATTTTGTTTATATTTTCAAAATTAACAAACTTTTTAAATATTTGCTATAAAATAAAAGAAATCCAGTTTAAAACATTAAAAATTAAATTACTAAAAAGTTTTCTTAAATTCATGTATTCTAATTTTTGAAATTATTCATATATTCAGATTTGTAATTTTTAAACAAATAATTTAAAGTAAAAACGTCTAGTTTATATATGGAATATCAAGCAGTTCTTGTTGAAATCTGGAAACATAAATGATCTCTCAGTTTCATCCTTAACCCGCCGGGGCTAAAATTTATTTTCTGAACCAAAATTTCGAACCATCTTCTTTAATTTAAGCTTCGTTTTAATTCAGTACTCCAAAAAATACGGTCCACCCTAAATAGCTTTTGATTGAATGACCAGATCTTCACGTTCCAAGATTCATTCTTAATAATTCGTGGGGCTGACCTCAGATATGTCAATTAATGAGTGTAGAAGACGATATTTTAAATTACGAAATCGGACACAAAAACGTATTTTGTCTGAATAAACATACTTTTTTCCGATGAATTCGGATTTCTAACCCTAAAAATGTGGGAGGTAGCCACAATTTGGGAAATAGGGTCCCCATAGTATGGTAAAGAGAGCGGTTGGACCCCTTAATCTAAATTTTGCTTTTTGCGTATTTCACCATATCTCTAGAATCCATTTTAAGCTAATAGAAAAATTTTTGCACACGCTTATAAAAATCATTTTTCTAAAGATAACTCCATGCAAAAATTAAATTTTAGTAAATATTTATTATTTTTTATTATTTTATTTAATAGAAGTTGAAAAAACTTTGAATGATAAGGTATACAGTTTCTGCATAGTTTTTAAGTATGCAATTTCACATGTCAAAATATAAAATTTGAGCGAAATCGGTTGAAGAATTCCTGAGAAATCGAATTTTAAATATACGACTTCTTTAAAATTCTATTTCTCATTCTATTCTATTCAGCAGAGTTTGCTCAAATTTTGCATTTTGCCAGGTAAAATTCCATGCTTTAAAATACTGTAAAAGATTGTGTACCTTACATTTCAAAACGTTTCGACTATTATTCAATACTATTATTCTACTATTATTCGACTATTATTCAATTCAATAAATATATTCTAAAATGTATTTTTTGCATAGAATTATCTTTGGGTAAGCGAATTTTATAAGTGTTTGCGAAAAAATGTATAATTCGTTTAAAAAGTTCTTGAGATATGGCGAAATACGTAAAAAAGTGATGATGGGGAATATATTTCCCTGATTGCGGCTACTCCCAATACCTTGGGGGGGGCTGAAACCCGAATCCCTTGAAAAAAAGGTATGTTCATTCAGAGAAAGTACGTTTTTGTGCCTGATTTCGTAACTTAAAATATCGTCTGCACTAATTAATTAGCCTATTTGAGGTGACCCCCTCGACTCATTAAGAGTAAGTCCTAAAACGTGAAGATCCTATCAATAGAATAAAAGTTATTCAGGGTGGTCCTTTTTATATTTCGCTCTCTGTACACTCCCCTTAAAAGAATGTGATAACTAGATTAAAAGTTATTTAGGTGTTTTTAATTTTGCGCACACTATTCTTGGGCAGAAGACAATAAATTTGGAGTATAATTTTGGTCCTAAATTTTTTTTTTCTTTTATTATGCTTTGAAAGATACCAAGCTAATGGTTACTGTATATTGCAAGCAAAATATAAAAAGGAACCCTTTGAATAACTTTTGATCTAATGAATTGTATTTTCACTAGTGACTCGATTTTAATGGTTCCAAAACCTAACCTTAAACATGTTCATTATTTCATGCATAATCCTGTTTTTCGTTTCGGAATAAAGCACAAAAACGTACTTTCTCTGAATGAGTAAAAATTGTAATTCATGACGTTTAAAATATGAGGGGCAATCTAAAAAAACCTTAAAATGGACTTATTATTTTTAAAAACTAAATGTATTCATTTTTTTTTCTTAAATCAGAATAATGTTTGGAGCTGATTGTTTAAATTTCAAATCAATAGTAATAAAAGAAAGACTTTGTCTCCAGACTCATTTGTACAGGCGGTTTAATATGTGAACCTATAAAAGGCAATTTTTATCCTCGAAATTAAACATCTATTTTCGTCCGGCTGAGGAGGTTTAACATTAGGCATGATTACGATTATAACTTAAAACTTTTTCATTTCAATTATTTGCCAGAAGTCATTACAAATATTTAATAACGTAGAGATCTAAAAAACCAAAAACGAGTTTCAAAGTGCACTTTATTGCACTCTCTTTTATCATCTTGTTATCACAAAAGTAACATTATGACCCCGAATAAGTATTTTGAAAGATATCAAAAAATTTAATTTTTTTTTTCAAGGGACGCTTTTGAAATGTATTTTTATAAAGCAAACTAATCAGCAGCGATTGAAATAAAAACAATCGGTCCAGTTGCTACATCGAACAAGCTAGAGCAAGTCCATTATCAAGAATACAAAAAATCATCTATTGCTGTACATCGTTGGAATCTTGGGCATAAATTTAATTTCG